CTCAACATTGAGGATATGTTTTAATAAACAGGGATAAACTAATTCTTTGAATTTCTAATCGAAGTTTAGAATATTTTCAATATTGAGAAATAAAGGATTCCTAACGATTCTTCACAACAATTGTGTTTAGTTTTGAACGCTCTTTCTGGGTCTACTCTTAGGCTTTGTGTAATGCAAAACGTAAGTCCCAAAATTAGCTGGAATTCGTCGGAAAAACTAAAAACTGCGATTTTTTTTTTGTGACTAATTCCAAAATCTTTATTTTCTATTTCAACGTATTTCGATTATCGCTTCGGATAGAGTATATATATATATAGTTGATATAAATAATTCCTAGGAATTATATTCTTAATGAGAAAAAAAAATGTTATCTTGAACGTCATGCTTTAGAAATTGGTGCATTCCTAATTTCATTACTATATCCTCTTGAAAAGCTCTTTTATTGTCGATCTACTAAACCGAAACAAAAATTTTCTACTTAACTGAACAAGATAAAAGCAAAGAAACATTTTATCAAATTAATTTTATATAACTTTATCCAACATGTATATAAATTATCTGAAATTGTAAAATTGAAAGTAGAGATTGTTTTGCATCTTAATTCGTACTTTCGATTTTTTCGAAGTTTCATCTAGTCATTTCACAAGTTGATATAATTGTCTTGATTCTTTTCAGATTCTTTTTTTTTTCTTGATATATTATATAGAATTCTTTTTCGTCTCGAAGCCTGATCAAGAGTACTTTCTATCGATTAATAGAACGATGAAGAGGATCTCTTCAAAATTGAAAGATAGATAGTCATCCTTTATTTCTTATACGTCTATATAAATTGCTTGCATGTGTTTGTTCGCTCATTTCTATAAAAAACAATCAAGTTTTTTTTATGATCTACTCGATGAAAATTGTATCACAATGACTATGCACATCTGCTTCTTGTTTTCTTGTTGTTACTTTTATCAATAGGTAAATTTTCTTTCGTTGTATTCTCATTCTGTTCATTTTTTTTTAATGTTTGTAATTTCTACAAACACTTCAATGATATGTGTCGATTTGACCAAAAGAAGAAGTAGCAAAAAACAAAATAGTCGATCGTATAAAAAAAGGCGCAGTGTCCAAAGGCTGAGAATTAGAAATTCGTTCTCACTTTCCTCACAGTTTCATTATTGATAAAATCATAAAAATTACAATATCTTCGGTAATTTATGTTAGCACATTCATATTCATCAAGAAATTTGCGAACAAATGGTCAATTCTTGTTTCTTCGAGAAATTATCATAGTTCCGTTGAGAGTGCCTCCACAATTTACGTTAGGAATTCCTATTTCTCAGTTCTTGAACATTGTTGAAGGGGCACGTGTGGAATGTAAATTTTCTTTTCAATCACACCCACGTTCTATTATTTTTTGTTGGTGTACTTATACATCCCCACTTTTATGCATTCAATAAAATATCTTCATCTCGTTGATCGAGAATCTGAAAATAAACTTTTTTGCAATTATAATAGATCCATACTAATCATGAGAATAAAGCACAAGAATCTTGCTAGATTATTCAAAAAATTATTCTATTCTATAATGAAAAAAAATCAGACTTGATTTTTAGTAATTACAAAATTCTATCTCCCAGAGGATTCCTATCTGACGAATAAGATCTCATAAATCTGACAAGAATCTTGACAAATCTACTTAGCAAAAGAAAAATCTAGAAAGATAAGAGACAAATAGTGACTTGTGTTGTTAAGACTATAAAAAAGTCGTTACGTAAATACTAACTCAGACACGATTTCACATTGAAAAGGCAAACATACTTGACGTTTCGTTGTTGTTCGGAGTGACTCTGTTTTTTTTTAGATAATGCAGAATATTAGTATTGCATACTTTATTATTAATTTGTATGATTCTCAATATATATATATATATGTATATACGATATTTTAGTGACGAAATGTATCTTAGATGAAATTGGACTCTATTTTATTTCGTATTCTTTTTTTTTTTTTTTTTTTTTTTTATTTAAATTCTCTTATTGATTTCATAGAAATGTTTATTATTATCATTATTCTGTTAATGTGATATTTAATTGAACAAATATTCAAATATCGATCACACTGAATCATATTGTTCCCATAGTTTACTAATAAACAAAATTCTTTTCATCTATTGGTGCAGGTAAATATTCTATTGGATATTATTTTACATGCTAATACGAACACATGTATCAGGTGGTGAGAAACGTTTACGCATATATTTCTTTTACCTTGTTTCGCTTCATTAGTTTTATTTTCATTGAACAAGTCATTGCAACTATTCGATTCAGTATGGATCAATACTAACTTGATATTATTTTTTATTTTCTTCACAAGTTTAATAATCGATTAGATATAAACTTTCAAAAGATATTTTCAGGTATTTACTGTCTTCATTTTGTTTAACTTCTTTTTTTTTTATTCAGTTCTAACATACTATTCACATTCTATGCATATCACTCAATGCTATAGACCATGAATAAAGCATACATGTGATAAGTGTAAAAATAAAACATTATTTTTTTTCTTTACTGTTTGAAATATGATGCTTCAGAAAACAATATCGATATAGTTTATGTTTTATTTGATTAAGATCCTCTCAAGACATATTAATGACTTTCTTTTTTTTAATATTTTCTAAAGCATACCTGTTAAGATAAGTACAACATTTTTTTAAGAAAAGAATATAACAATAACAACAACAAACCTATCAGTTATCATGTATCAAAGAAAATTGACAACATCCAAGAAAAAAAACTGAGTTGCACTCTTTTTCTTTTTCATCCCTATTATATATGCATGCGCAACCTCTTCTTTTCTTTTATCTATAACAAACAGAGTGCAAGTTGATATTTTTTGCTCGTGTCATCCTGGTTGTTCGGAAGAAGAAGAATCTTGTTAAGATTATTTTATAAAAGTAAGTTTTATTTAATAAAAATGATTATCTATTTATTTTTTGTCATATTATTAGTCAATGAATATATTTCAGCTGCGAAGGCATATCTATAAGTGGTGTATGATATGCACTTTAATAATGTGTATTACAAGTACTATAAATATTATATATGTTGTTCGCCATTATATATCACCTGATAATAATGTATTTATGATGTCAACAACATCTCGTACAGGAGATTCTCAAACAAATACATCAGATAATCAATCAGGACAAAGATATGGTTTATTTGATGAAACTTATCAACTATTTTTACAAACATTTACTGCTAATTTTATGCTCATATTAGAGCATCAAAATAATGCTTCATTATATTGTCCATCTATACCACCTAATTTACAAGGTCCGATAATCATACACGAACCACCAGAAAATTTTTCTGTTTTGAATACATCACCATATTATCCAGAAGTTCAACATGGTGGTCGTTATCATCCAAAAACATGTTTAGCTCGTCATAAAATTGCTATTATTGTACCATATCGAGATCGTTGGGATATTCTAAGACGTTTTCTTTTTCATACACATAGATTTTTACAACGACAACAATTAGATTATCGAATCTATGTATGTGAACAAGCATTTGATAAAACATTTAATAAAGGTATTGTGATGAATAGTTGTTTTAAAGAAATTTTAAATCTTGAACCAAATACAATATGTTTTATAATGCATGATGTGGATTTATTATTAATTGATGATCGAAATATGTATACATGTCCATCATATCCACGTCATTTAAGTGTTGCTATTGATAAATTTGATTATTATTTACCTTATCCAGAACTTGTTGGTGGTGTTTTAGGTAAGTCAAAAAATAATTTTCTACTTCAAATGTTTTTATTTTATAATTTTGCAAAAAGAATTTTATAAGTTTAATCTAGCACTAAATCTCATATATATATATATATATATATTATATGATAAAATGATAATTCCTGAAAATATAATTATTATGGAGATACTAGATAAGCTGAGAGTAATAGAATACAAATTATTTATGAATATTTTATCATAGATTTTGTTTTTCTATGAATTCGAAATAATAAATAAAATTCGATCTACTAGACGAAAAACTAACCGTAGTTTTTTATTGACATGCAAATATGAATAAATTAAATGTATAAAAATAAATTTCATATATATAATTTTTGTCTGAATTATTTTCAGTTTTATTTATTAAAAAAACTAAATATTTATAAACTAAAAATGTATTACAAAAAAAAAACAATAAATAACAGAAATTCTATGTATTATATATGAAATATTGATTTATAGTAGCATACGTCATAAATATAAATAGGATTCTGTATTCGATCTGTATCTAATACGTCACAATAAAGAAATACTCCTAGTAATTTTTTTCAAAAGTCTTTCATCATATAATAAACTTGTAATTAGCTTTGTTATTAGATTTAAAAAAACAAGAAAAGATATATAATTATTAATATGTTAATTTCCCCAGTAACAGGAAACCGGAGATAAGACTTTTCTGTGTCTCTTTTAGCAATGCGCCGCGAACACTATATACTTGTTAATGGCTACTCAACTAATTATTGGGGTTGGGGTGGTGAAGATGATGATATGCATAAACGTATTACAAATAAACATTTAATTCTTGAACGACCACCAGCATCTATAGCACGTTATAAAATGTTAAAACATACACATCAAAAATTAAATCCATCTCGTATGAAAGTTTTACGTACGGCACATATTCGTATTGATTCTGATGGTGTTAATAATGTTAAATATAAATTACTTAACACAAGTTTTCATCATCTTTATACACATTTTTTAATTGATGTTGGTGAACAAAAAAGACATTAGGAAATTTCTTTTATTGTTATTTTTGTTGTAAAATAACTTTTTTTTTTCTTAACAACAAAAAAGGAATTTTTTCATTTCTTTTTTATTTTATTTTTTAACTATAATGTCAGTTATATTTTAAAGTACGGTATTATTAAAGATATTGAGTTAAGATAAAGAGGTTATATATGAACTTTTTTCTTTGTTATTATTATTTTTTACCAACCATACTGCATGACAATTCATCTGTAAAATCACCACAATGATCATATGTATCACATTGAAGTTTTTTCGAAATACAATTCTTATTTTTACATAAGAAAAAGCCAAGACTTTGAGGACATGCAGGAACCGCTGAATAAAAATCATAAAGATCGATTAATTCATGAAAAAAAAGGAAGAACTAGACGAGTCATTTAAAGAATTTCTAGAAAAATTGTTACAGCTAAAATGTTTCTATCTACTTTTAATGGTATTTAATCTAGG